TCATGTGTTCATATTTGGCTGCACTCCAACTCCCATTTCTTGGATTCCTCCATTGATTCAAACCCAAAAACACACACATTCATCAGAACACACAAAGAAACAGACAAGACAACCAAGTTTTCTCTCTCTTTATGTTTTTTTTTTTTTAATATTCTCACTTTACTCTTTTTCTTTTTCCTTTTGCATGATCCAATGCAGCCACTAACTCGATCAATATGTTTCTTTAATTTTCTTTTCACTTCTAAATTATCAAACTTTCATATAACCCATTGAAGTTGACATAATTAAAATTAAATTTCATATGATCCCATCTTCATATTACTACAAAAAGTTATGATCGTGACAAAAACGCATCATATTTCGAGATGGGTCGTTTTTAAATTCCTATTTTGATCAACATTTCTAATGATTTCATATATTTATATATATATATATATATATTAGTAAATCTAGAGGGGAATTGGAGCTATGTAATGATTTCGAACGGTCCGAGATCTAGCAGCTCTTGAATCATTTGTTCAATGTGATCATCTTCAAGAGGTTGAAGGCATGGCTGATGATGAATGTTGTTGTTGATCTTCATTTGGGCTTCGTCGGAGTAGACCCATGTTTCTTCCGGTGGCCACTGGCCGGTGGTGGTTCTGGAAATGCTCGGTGGAGGACCACCGTTTGGGTCGAACCCGGGGTGTTGCTTATGGATGTGTTTTTTGGCGATTTGGAGTGAGGCTAAATGGCATTTGTGTAGTTTGGCTATGAGCGCCGGGGAGAGAAGGTTGGAGGAAGAAGAAAAGGAGGGTTGATCGTTGAGATTGAGTTGGAAATTAGTTCTGGCTTTGGGGCCGCACATCAGTCTCGCTGCCTCGTCGTAGGCTCGGGCTGCATCCTCCGCCGTCTCGAACGTCCCCAACCATATTCTCGTCTTTCTGAAAAAGAAAGTTTTAAGTAGAAGAAAGAAGAAGGAAGAAGAAGGGAGTATTAAAAATCTCAAAAGTTTGTATTTTTAGTGTATAAAAGAAGAGAATTACAATAGAGGGTGGCGAATTTCGGAGACCCAAGAGCCCCAATGTCGCTGACGAACACCGCGATATTGTTGTTGAGGTCGGGCCATGGCGGTCGTCGGAGAAGGAGGAGGAGGAGATCGAAGAGGAGGTGCAATGGTGGAAGAGGTCGGAGTTTGGTTGGTGATGGAAGTGAAGAGAGAAGAGAAGTATATATAGACCACTTTTTGGCATTACTATTGGAACCTTTTGGTCTCAATTTCCCTAATTTTGGCTTTGGTTCTTATTCTCCATTTTATTAACCTTTTCAAATGCTTCAATTCTTAACCCATTTGATGTTTTCTATGTAACCAAACAAAGATGTCATTTTTCCAACGTTTATGTTACAATGTTTCATTAACTTATCCTTCAAACATTAACTTCCTTTCATTTTCACCATGTGTTTAAATATTATTGTAATATATTCCAACATTATTAAGTACATTTCATTCTCCCCCACCATTTTTGTTTTTCCTTTCCTTTTCGTTTTTGGCGGGTTGTGGGCACCCTTCTGACACCGTCATTCGTAGTCACGTGCTCTAATCTTCTAAGCTACAAACCCCATTTTGTCTCCACTAGACTTGGTCCCAACTCTTGTTTATTCTATTTGTCAACAAGAGAGTCATTTTGCAACCTGACCTTATGTGCCCTTCAAGTGTGCATTTACTATCAAGGAGTCTTGCTAGTAAGCTTTCAACAAGGATGAACACTCCCAACCAATCCACATTTTCCCCATATCGATATATGATGCTAAACCGAAGTCGAGCTCGATCGAGAGGGGTAGCCCTTTTGTTGGCTCTTTGAGATAAAACCACTCATAGGAATGATGTCAATTCCCATGTTCTTTTGAGACTCATTTGGTTTCAAGAGCCTCCTCCTCCTCCCCATCCTTTACTCGTCTTTTAACGGTCATCATCCAAAGGATGAAGAATCAAATGTGGGGCTTGCCATTCTATAAAGTCTTCGAACTCAAAGGATTAAACTTGAACGCTACATGAGACTCGAACAATTCCACCCAGCGTAGAGCTTCAATCAATAAGCCATGTTAGTCAAATCTCACAATTCCTCTATATCATCACTATATAACAACGGTTGATATTTTATTTTATTATTTATTTATTTTTGGGACAAAGCCACATGAATTCCAATGTTGAGCATTTAATATGGGGATGAAGGAAAGAGGTCCACCACGAGACGACGTCGCATCGCATCGCATGCAGCACCCATGCAGGGCCTCATGGCTATATCTTTGTATATTTTCAATCAATCGCCGTTCATTTCATACACTTTTTTTTAATGAAAAAAAATATTTTTCCCATATGCTTTCCATTTTTAATTCCTTTTTATAATTTAAGCTTTTTCCATGTTATATGTTACATTTTTTTTAATTATATACTTTGTACATTTGTATTCCCGTAACTACTTCGAGTAGAAGATGACCAAAGTAAACAATAAAAAAAAAACGACTCAACTTTATTTTTTAATTTCACCTTAAGGGTATTTGAACAATCCGACCCGTACGATTTGAGTTGGGTTATGGATCGAGTTTAATTGAGTTCAAAAATAACCCATCTTATTATTAATTATGATATACAATTATATATATATATTTAATTGAATTGGATCTACAAAATGTCCTGACTCACCAACCCCCTTACTTCACCTAAACGGTTTTCTATTCAATATCGATAATGTTCCTTCACACTTACATACTCATAATCTTCCTTTTGACTTTATTTTGCATTCCCGACAATACTAATGCATAAAACCGACCTTTGAATGAATCTCTCAACCCACCAAATTTTCACGAATAGTCATTTTAAATATTTGTCATTATTCACTCCCAATTTAAAAAATATATATATATATATTATACGCCACAAATTATTTTTTAAAATTTAAAGAGCCTAGAAATATTTTTTAACAATATAAATAAGTATATTGTTATGGGAATTTTAAAAATGGTAAAATAAAATAAAGTTAGTTTTAATTAATTGGTTAAGAGAGAGGGAGTCTAAAATATTTCATCTTTTAATCATTTTAAAAAAAAAATAATTACAATTTCTAAATAAATAATATTATGTAACATTTAAAGCTCTTGAAAAGTCAATGAAAGGGTTTGGTATGGTATGCTCTTTGCATGCTTATAATTTCAATAATTAATTATATTATCAATCAACGTCATCCTATTATTTTTTTATTTTCTTATAGCATTCCATTTTTCCGCATTATTCTAAGTTTCGAGATTTAGTTCACACTCACTTACCGAAGATTTTCAAATATCACTCCTCAACAAAAAAGTCGTCCCATCCTCTGTCGTCGTCGGGATCAACCCGTTTAGCATAATTCCAAAGAAAAATTATCGATAAAACTAGTGACGACATTTCTTTAGTCCTTTAAAAATGAAATTATTTTATTATATAGTTTGAATCCTCTTCATATATATTTTTAAAATTTGTTTTTATTTATGAAAGTATATGAAATGGAAATGAGGAGGCAATGCCTAAAAAGACTAAAATTAAACCCTAATAAAAGCTTGAATTGGATAAGATTAAATCTAATTTAAAAAACCATAAATAGCAAAAGAAGGGGGAAAATATTGGAATGATTTGATTGGCATTTTAAAAATAGAGGCATGCATTTAAATTTTCTAAAGTTCAAAGGAAAAAAATCACTTTTTTATTTTTAAAATGGAAATAAATACCAAATTCTAAAGTTCTTTTCTTTACAAATACTCAAACAAACAAACCAATGTTTTGAATTATGATTATTATTTAAATATTTTGGAGGGTTATTAAATAAATAATAAACTTTTTGATTCTGTGGGCCCATTCATAGATCTTAATCCCTTCACTTTTTTCTTTTTAAGAATTCTAATATTGACCATTGCTTTTTTGTACCTATTTTCTATTGGCAGCTTGGGCCCAAGCCTGCGTACTTATTGGGCTTTGCTGGCCTTTTTATTATTTTTTTTTTTTTGGAATTTTCTTCTTTTCCTTTTTGTTTTTTATACAAATAACTTTATTATTATTATTATTTTTTTTTTTTTGGTTCATCAAAAATTTTTATTTTTTGGAAAAAGGAAATTTATTTGTCAAGTATTCAATGGGTCAATAAGACTTTCATTATGATTTTATTTTCCATTTAAAAAAAAAAAAAGCTTTTTGATTTGTAGACAAATGTATATATAATTCATTTATTTAATAAATTGAATTTTGGTCACACTTAAAAAAGCCAAAAAAAAAAAAAAAAGTGAATCTCGTCTAATAGCTACCTATGGTATGGCTAATGAAAAAAGTACTTTAATTTCAAAATAATTAAATTAATAGCCAAAACAATCATTATAAAACAATAGTAACATAAATAACTTTGACGTGGACAGATTATAATATAATATATGCATATTCTAAACTTATCGATATGCGAAGGAATTATTAATTATTATTTAAAATAGAAAGCAACGATCCTAATGATATAAATTGAAAAGCATAATGCACAATAAGTTCATAAATCCTACATAAGACGGTGCAAAACTATCAACCACATTACAGCGGCCTCATATAATTTGCTGGTATGTCAAAGTAGAAAACTAACAAACCACGGCACATTAGATATTTACCTAAACCAATAGGTCCTTGAGCGGATCCAACGTTAGCTTCAAGACGTTGGTCTCTAACTAGAAACGTAAATGTTTGAACTTGAGAAGCTTCAGGTTCAGTCGGTCCGTAAAATTCACTCGGATAATCAGTATTATTGAACCAGACAAAACAACAAGGAATAAAACCAAAAACAGATAAAGCACCTAAACTATAAGACAAGTAATCTTCTCCAGACCATACAACTGCACGACGAGTCCATGCAAACGGTTTAACTTTTGAGTAACTTTTGAGATTTAAACTCAAATGTAATACCACCAATGAACTCAATTAATAACTTTAATTTTAAAAAATGGGCCATAATCTATTCACAGAATCAAGATTATATATTGATAGAGATTCACATACATACATGTAGATAGAGATTATGTTGCACATCTCTGGAACACATGGATCAATTTGAGGAATAGATAGATAAATAAAAGGCAATTTCAGTTGAGAGGAAAACAATCGTCCTAAGTGGATACTGCTAAGAACATATTAAAAAACTACACTTTGTGGGTGATTTAGATAAGAGGGAAAAAATGAAATGGGAAATCCACAAGATAAGGAGCTTGGAAAGGAAGTGCAAACGGGATGATTCAGATGCAAATAGCAGAAAAATATGGGAACAAGTAGATAATGTAAAAGAAGTTTGGATTGCTCAATGATTTGGAGGTTTAAAGTAAAAGTATGAACTTTCACGACTCACCAGGTAAAAGCCCCTCCTTTATGCATGCCTAGTATATAGTGCCAATAGAACTTAAAAGCAAGAAACCATCTTGATTTTTTTTCTTATTTGGTAGTGATGATTCAGTGCTTGACATCAGTGTGTATGCACTTCACAGCAGATTCCGACACTGGACCCTTTCATAATGGAACAAAGAAAAACATCAGATCTGCAGAATAGCCAAGAAAAATTTAGTGTTCAGATTTGAAAGCAATATTTGCAGTCTTTGTCCTAAAAAGTATAGGCACCATCAGATCAAGCAGTTTCAAGTGGTAAGATGCATCAAAGAAAGGACAATAAAATAAGATTTCATACCACTTTTTTGAAATGTAGGAAGATAAAAGTCATGTGCTTGTTAATAATGCCATCTTATTGATTTCTGAGGTCCTGCCCAATTTGATATATATTATACAGCAAAATCCAAACATAACCCCTAACCCCACTGTCCTTTATCTTGATGGGAAAAGGTAAAAAGAGTCGGAAGGATAGATGTAATGGCTCAAGCCCACCACTAGCAGATATTGTCTTCATTGGATTTTCCCTCTTGGGCTTTCCCTCCAGGTTTTTAAAACGCATTTGATAGGGAGAGGTTTCCATATCCTTATAAAGGGGGTATTCATCCTCCTCCCCAACAGATGTGAGATCTCACTCCCTTCAGAACTCAATCTCCTCGCTGCACGTCGCCCCATGTCTGACTCTAATACTATTTGTAATGGCCCAAGCCCACTGCTAGTAGATATTGTCCTCTTTTGGGCTTCTCCTTTCGAGTTTTCCCTTAAGATTTTTAAAAACGTGTCTGCTAGGAAGAAATTTCCACATACTTATAAAGGGTGTTTCATTCTCCTCCCTAATCGATGTGGGATCTCACAATAAACTCGGGTGTTTGTTGCGACAGTTAAAAGTAATTTTACTTTATTTAGAATCATCCAAAGAACGGACCTCAGCCTTTCCTTCAACTGAACCACACCTAAAAAAAAAAAAAAAAAAAAAAAAAAAAAAAA